TAAGTCCGTTTGATTGTGGGTGATAACTCGTTGTTCGTTGATGTTTGAAACCGAGGAGATCAGCGAGCTTCCTGAAAAGGTCTGACTCGAATTGTCCCCCAAGGTCGATTGTTATACGAAGTGGGACTCCAAAGTAGGAAATCCAAATTTGCATGAGTGCATGCGCTACTCGGTCAACTGTGCCGTCAGTAAGTGGTGGGGCTGCTGGATAGCGTGTGAATCGGTCGATTATTGTGAGTCCTTTTGAAAATGGGAGTGTCATCAAGTCTATGTGAATATGTTCAAAACGACGCGAAGGTGGCTGAAATGTTGCGATGGGTGAAATTGTGTCACGTGAAATTTTATTGCGTTGGCATTGAGTGCATGCTTTGGTCCATGTGATGCAATCCTTGTTGATTGATGTCCAAACATATCTTTGTGTGATAAGGCGTCTTGTAGCTCGGCGACCAGGTGTGAGACTGAATGAAGAGTCTCGAAGATTCGCCGTCTTAGTTGTTGTGGAACGAACGGACGTGCTGTCCCTGTAGATATATCGCAGTATATAGCAATGTCCGTGGTATTGGTGTTGATTTTGCGTAACTCTAATGGTGTATTCGAGATGTTGAGTAGTTGTTGAAGCTCTGTGTCGTTGGTTTGAGCGCATGCAAGTCCTTCAGATGTAACTGCTGTGTGAGTGGCGTCGACTCGAGATAAAGCGTCCGCTACGATATTGCTGGAACCGGATATGTGCCGTATATCGATGGTAAACTGACCGATATAATCAAGTCGTCGAAACTGGTGAAGCGCGTTCGAGTTTCTGTTTGAATGCGTGCATTAAGGGTCCAAACCAAAGGGTTTGTGGTCTGTGTAGATTGCGATGTGTCGCCCCTCAAAAATATGACGGAAATATTTCACTGCTTCGTATACTGCGTTGAGTTCACGATCGTAGGTTGATCGTTTCTGAACAGATGGTGCAAGTTTGCGCCTAAGGAATGCAAGCGGTTGCCCGTGGTCGCCAATACGTTTGCTGAGGGGCGGCACCAATTCCGCATTCAGATGCGTCTGAAAAGGTGGCCCACTCGGAATTGTTATCCGGGTGTGCCAAGAGTGTTGCATTAGCAAGAGCTTTCTTGCAGTTTGAAAATGCGTTTTCTAGCGACCTTCGAGTAGCGTGTTGAGTGGCGCGAGTAAGTTTGCTGCGTTCTTAATAAATTTGCGGTAAAAATTTATTGTACCAATGAAGTTGCGGAGCTTGGTGATTGTTGAAGGTCGAGGATAGTCGATGATGACTTTGACTCGTTCCGCAAGTGGTTTAATTCCATGGGCGGAAATTGTATGCCCTAGAAACTCGATTTGTTTGAGACCTAGACATGTTTTTATTGTGTTGATGACTAAGCCATATTGCTGAAGGCGTTGAAAAACGATACGCAAATGTTGTTTGTGTTCTGCTTCGTTGGCAGATGCGACCAATAGATCATTGATGTATGCGAAAACGAAAGGTAGATCTCGGGTTATCTCATCGATGAAGCGTTGAAAGGTCTGCGCTGCGTTTCGGAGTCCGAAGGTCATAAATGGGAACTCGAAAAGACCAAACGGTGTGATTGTAGCCGTTTTGTGGACGTCTTCTTCAGCTACGGGAATTTGATTGAAGGAACGAATTAGGTCGATGGTTGAATAGAAAGATGTACCATGTAAGTTTGCGGTGAAATCTTCTAAGCATAGAACTGGGTACCGATCTGGTATGCTACGTTCGTTGAGACGACGCCGCTCTTTTTGGGCGCCAGATGTAGAGGTGATGACCAAGAGCTGTCTGATGGTCTTGCAATGCCCAGTTTTATCATCTTTTGGAACTCAGCTTTTGCGATTTTTAGTCGTTCGGGAGCTAATCGCCGAGCACAACTGCTGACTGGAACGCCAGGTGTTGTCTTGATGTGCTGTTGCGTTGTATGTGAAGTTTGTTTAGATTCACCATCGGGACGTGTAATCTTAGGATATTCAAGCAAGCAAGCAGTTGCCAAAATCCTGATGATTGATTCAACTGTTGGAGTTTGATCGACTGTACAGTCACGCTTTTAGTTGTACCTGAGGTGATGAGTCGTTGGTTTTTGAGGTCGACCAGGATGTCATAGTGTGAAAGTAAATCGGCGCCAATGATTGGATTGGACACATCTGCCAGTATGAAGCGCCATGTTAGCGCTCTGCGAAGGCCGATGTTCAAAACGATTGTTACGACACCGTAAGTATTAACGGGTGTTCCGTTAACTGCGATGAGTTGGTAGCCGGTCGCCATCTTCGTGTTAGTTGCTCGTGTGTGAGGATAGCGCTTTCCGCCGCTAACGTCTCTCTGCCGCGTTTCCCGCCTGTTGGCAATCCGGTGTGCATTTTTGAGCCAGTTTGCCAAACTTTTTGTGATACCAGAAAGTGTTACTGGTGGTGGATCTGCTTCTGTTGATGCGTTGTGAACGAAAACGTTTTCCTCCAGTCGTGTCCAAAAGCTTTTGAAGGCATTTCGTGATGTGAGCGAGTWGTTGCTCTACGGCTGTAGAATTCGAGTCGTGAGTCGTTGTAAGCGATACTGCAGCTATATTATGCCCTCGAGGAGATGTAGCTCGGCCGTGCGTTGTTCGACCAAATATGCGCATTTGGTCTGGGAGATGTGAGAGCCACCTTGTTCTTAATACTTCCTCATCTATGTCCGGAACTAAACTTCGAAGGTGTCGAAGATGTTGAGAGGGCGTTCTCACTCACCGTCGAGTTGTAGAATTTTCGCTTCTCAGGATATAGAATAGCAAGCAATTAGCGTAGTCTTTAAGCGTTGATAGGGCTTGTCGGCTGGTGGATTTAAAATGATGTCCTCAGCGTCGGCAGCTATGCGCGTGTCTATCAACGGAATCGTGTGGTGCAATTTGTCCACCTCGCTCGTGACGTTGTGATTTCGGAACTGTGATTCTAATTGCGCGAACCAGAGGGCTGGCCGTTCTTGGTTGAAGCTTGGAACACGTATTGTCGCAGGGCTGGAACTACAACAACATTTTAAATTTTAAACATTAATTAAAATGATAACCAAATACAAACCATGCTATTTATGTGTATATATTAATCCTTATCCAAATAAATTATTTTATATTCAAGACCATTTAACTACCTATAAAATAGTTTTTATTTTAAATAAATTAATATTTCAAATAAATTATATTTATTTCGACTATTAAAAAGTGAAGAAGAAAATTGATGATCTTCATGAAATATGCATATTCGCTTTATTTGGTTATCATTTCCATAGTTGTACCAATAGAATTTCTATGACACATGCATATGTACATATATATATTATTTCTTTGGCACATTTCTCTGTATGTTTACGAAAGCAAATGCGAGCCGTATACATACAAACATACATTCATTATAACAAATGTCGCACGCTTCTTTCGCATCTTCGTTGTCACGGTCAACCCATGGCCGAAATTTGCGTTTTGTCAAAGAGTCAAGTGCTGAACACATTGAGCACGACAGACTGCAAGCGACATCTGTCAAATATTAAAATATACACGTTCTTAGGGACACAGTTATGTAGTTGTACAGCTGCCTCAATACCTGTGAACGTGTGTATTCTAATATCTGTCAACCTCATTAGTTCAGCACTTGAGTGATGATAGAAAATTCGAGCTGTGCCGAAAAAAATAAACGAATGGCCGCCTATTGACCGCTTCCCTTGCCACTGTAACAGCATCGCCTACAAACTAGCGTAAATATATTTGCGTATGTATGAGCTTGCAATATCGACGCAGATTTTTGCGAGTCGTGGAAAAATAGTTTAGAATAGACAAATATTATAAATCGACAACTCCGTTGTTGCCACTTTTCTAACTTGTTTCTGTGAAGAAACATCAGAAAGTTGCTTAGTTTATGATTTTTAGTTTTTGCCATCGTCGTGAAAAGACGCTTGTAGGCAAAGGCATGCTCGGGAGATGTTACGGCGTCTGTTTTTATGAATGAAGCGAGGTCCCTTGTAGAATTTGCGCTTGCGTTTATGAATGAAATCGTTTTTGTTGTAAAATTTACCACATTTGGGCTTCGCCAATTCGGCTGCCAACTTGACTTTTGATACTTCTGCTATTTGAGCAATTGTTGTTTTTGTAGAACAATACTTAAATTTTTTGATGGTGACATATTCACATGTGTACGCATATGTATGTATGCATACTTGTGCATTATTTGTTTGGAAGTGTATAAAAATATATGTACATATAAGTATATATGAATGTATGAACATGTAGATCAATGCGCGCACATGTAATATGTGTAAGTGATAGAATCATGATTTGATTTTCTGAACGCGCACATATAAGCAAATAATAAGACTAATATGATAGCCGATATATGTATGTATTTATTATTGTTGTGATAAATTCAATTTCTATTACTACTATTAGTATAATATAAGTAGCCCTATTCTGCATTTCGACTCGAATCGAAATTTTTTCAGTTTGGCAACTGCATTTCGATTAGTTTCGATCAATCTTCGAAATTTCCAATTCTATGTATTCTACATTGCGATCGTAGTTCCGTTTTTGTAAGTTGAAATTTTGTTGGCGGAGAGCGGTTATATTTTGGTTTTAGTGTACTTTTACAATATAATTTTCCCAAAAATGTAAGTAAAATTTGTTGTTGATAGTTTTAAAAGCCACCAACACGATTTATTTAAGTTTTTTGATATATTTTTAGGTCAAAAACACCAACATCAGACCAATATGAAAAATCGCTTCCAACAGCGACAGAAGGAAAAAGTAAAGGAGGTTTGGGAGGAAATTGCAAATGCCCTAAATGCACTTGGTCCACCATCAAAAGACTCCAGTACATGGAGAAAGGTATTGTACTACTGAAAATACATTTTTTAAATACTTCAAACGTTTTGTTACAGGTGTGGATTGACTGGAAATGCTATATAAAACGCAAGCTATCTGCAAATAATAAGGAGAGTATGAGCACAGGTGGAGGTCTTGCAACGTATATGCCCACTTGAGGAGAAGGTTATAGCTTTAACGGGGTTGGAAACTTGTACAAGTGGAATAAGATGTGCGTGGGATTATGGCGATAGTGCGCAGGTACAATACGTTGCCCAAACCTGCGAAATGGACATTTCCGCATGTTCGGAGGATCGAAATGAAATTCCTTCATGCAGCAGATTTAGCAGCCAGCGCAGAGAAAGAAGAACTGATAAGGAGAGCGCTTCTTCCTTACTCAAAGAACAAATAGCTCTCCAGAAAGAATTTTACGAGGACACCAAAAACCGTAATGAAGCTGCAAATGGAAGAAACGGTGACATATTTATGTCGCATGAATCGTTCTTTAGAATGTATGGTGGACATCGCAGTGAAGCAACTACAAGAACAGAAACGACACAATAAAATTACGGAAGAATTGGTAAGAGAAAAAGTGGAAATAAAGATGCAGATGCTAAAGCTAGATCCAAATTATGAATCAGATTCGAAGTAATTAAGTAAATAAACTAAATTTTGTACCTGAACTTTTTTTTAGTTTTTTGCTTCAATTATCTGTAAGAAAGAAGCTGTGAACTGAACTGAATTCAATTTACTATCCTTAAGTAACAAGTTGTGAATGCAAATAATTTTTTTAAATATACGAATAGTATATATACATACAATTTAGAATTTAATAAAGCTGTTTTTATTATTGTACTCGTTTCTCAATTCCCTTTCAGAACTAAATTCATTTGCGTTCAAATCTTCCACTTTGTAGTAAATGCAAATATTGTGGAGAGCACAGGCAACGTTTATTATTTGACTGACTTTGTGTGGTGAGTAATGTAGTTCTCGAGCACCCAACAAGCATCGGAAACGGTTCTTCAATACCCCAATCGTCCGCTCTCCTATATTCCTTGTTGTGGTGTGCCGCATGTTGTAATTACTTTGCGGGCTGCCTTGAGTTACAGATAGATACGGAGTCATTGGCCAAGGCTGCAATGGATACCCCGCATCACCTGTTAATAAGGCGAATAACTATTGAAAACTTACTTTAGCACACGTATATAAATGAATACCTAACAGCCACGCGTTTCTTTCACCTTCCCGATATCGCCGTTCCATATGCGATCTAAGCTTGCTTAAGCCCCATACATGTGAATCGTGATTGCACCCAGGATAACTGGCATCAATGCTTTTATACGCATTCTGTTATCGCACACCTGAAAAGTGAAATCAAATTGATAAAAGTAATGAATTTTGAATTATGGCACTGATGCGATGAACATTATTCTTACCACCATAGCATTGATGCTATAAAATCGTTTTCTATTGTAATATAGAATGGCTTCAGATGGCTTCACTATTTTTATGTGCGTACCATCAATACACATAATGACTCCTGGGAAACTAGCCTTCGCATAAAACTCTTGCTTCGCTGGAATTTTTTCCTCTTCCCTCTGGTCAAATTTGATCCACTCACGGCAAAGCTTTCGTTGCATGACTTCGAGAAAATGAGACAGTGACTTCGACACAGTTGACTGACCCATTCCAACGTTATAATGTCCATGTTGGTAACTGCCTTCCACAAAAAATCTCAAAGCAGCCATTACGCGATTAAGCGGAGATAACGACGTCAAAGTACTTTGTTGAGTTTCTTCCGCAAAAGTATCTAGGACATACTTGAAAGCGTCCTTATTAAGTCTAAAGTTTTTTTTATTTTTGAATCTAAATTAGTAAATCAATGAATTAAGATTTAACACTTTCAAACTCAATTTCTTACAATTCGTCACTCATCTGAAATGGATCACACATATCTCGCAATCTTCTCCCTTCAACTTTCGCGTCAGCATTCTCGTATGCGTTGCCGTCCTCCTCAAGAAATATCGCCGCGGCTATCGATTCCATTACGCAATTATATGCATATTTAATTTATTTTATTTAAGCACCAATAGTTTTCCACAAATTTGTATCTGTTTGCTTTATTTTGTTCCAATTTCACACATTTAAAGGCAAACATCTGATTTCGAAAAGGCTATCGCTCTTCCTCTCTTTCTTTCGATTCCATCGTAACTCGGACTACCTAATTCCAATCAATGCGGAGCGGAATGCGGGAACGTAATAGAAATGTAGAAGAGGGCTGAATATATTAAGTAAAATTATTTTATTTGAATTTTATTATTCAAGTCCAAATTGACTGTAAATATTACCATGCATGCATTCATACAAAATTAGACTCATATCATAAATATTTTTACATGCCAATATGGAAATTCCGACTGCAAAACGCAAAAGCATACATATTTTA